GCTGCCCCTCGAGCGCTGCGCGCTGCCGCCCCTCGACACGGGCGGTCTCAAAGCCTATCCAGGTGGTGAATGTAGTCACCTGCCTGCCGTCATGCCGGCCTTTACAGTCTACAACGGGGAGCTGCTCTACGGCTCACCGGCCACTACCGCTTATTACCCGCTCAAATTGCACTTCGGCGGGCTGCTGAAGTATCCGGAGTCCATCTCCTACTTCAGCGGGCCAGCAGCGGCCGCCCTAAGCCCCGCTGAGCTGGGCTCGCTGGCCAGCATCGACCGAGAGATCGCCATGCACAATCAGCAGCTGTCCGAGATGGCTGCCGGGAAGGGTCGCGGACGCCTGGACTCGGGGACGTTGCCACCGGCCGTCGCGGCGGCGGGAGGCACAGGGGGCGGCGGCAGCGGAGGCAGCGGCGCAGGTAAGCCGAAGACCGGCCACCTGTGCCTCTACTGCGGCAAGCTGTACTCGCGCAAGTATGGGCTCAAGATCCACATGCGGACGCACACGGGCTACAAGCCACTCAAGTGCAAAGTCTGTCTGCGGCCCTTCGGCGACCCCAGCAATCTCAACAAGCACATCCGGCTGCACGCCGAGGGCAACACGCCCTACCGCTGCGAGTTCTGCGGCAAGGTACTTGTGCGCCGCCGGGACCTGGAGCGACATGTCAAGTCCCGCCACCCTGGCCAGAGTCTGCTCGCCAAAGCGGGCGACGGCCCGGGTGCCGAGCCCGGCTATCCCCCGGAACCTGGGGATCCCAAGAGCGACGACAGTGACGTGGACGTCTGCTTCACAGACGACCAGAGCGACCCCGAGGCTGCGGGCGGCGGCGAGCGCGACTTGTAATAAGTCTTCCCGGGAAGGGGCGGGGCGAGGACAGAGGAATCGAGGGTCTATTCTCGCAGAAGAGGAACTCCTGGTGGTGGGAAGAGGGACCCAATGGACAAAACCGTTTTTGTTTTTGAGAGGGCGCCAGATTTGGAACAGTGAGAGGTCCCACATCTGGTGCTGAAACTCAGAGCAACAGTTCAGAGGTGGCGTAAATCCGGCCACCTGGACAGCTCGAGGGCGACCAGGACCTCCGTACCCCGGGCCTCTGGACTTCTTGGATGAGCTCACCCTGAACCGCCCAGGCGGTCTGCTCTTGGTGTTCAGGATCACATCAATGCGAACGTCACAGCGCCCTCGAGGGCGCACATTTTAACTGCCACGTATTTTTAAGTTGTACTTTTCTGTGGAGGAAATTGTGCCTTTTGAAACGACGTTTTGTGTGTGTATTTTACATTAGCATTTCATTTCTTAGGCAAAACACTAGTCACAATTGGGTAGATGTGACATCCATATACTGATTTCCATTTTATCTGTTCTCATGTCAAAGACTACGCCTTGCCCTATTGAATATAGTGGTAGCAGGTGTACAAATTGGTCAAGTTGCAATTATTTATGAGAGAATAATGATAAATGTAAAATATCTAAAGCATGAATCTAAGAGCACGCAATATATAATTTTAAAGAAAATATTCTATTTGGTAGAATAGAAATGTGGTGTGTGTTGTTTTATAATGACTGCTGTACAGTGGATATAGTATTTTGGTTTTGGTTCCAGCTTGTGCAATCTTTAAGAAAAATAAAGATACAAACGAGAGTTTGTTCACTTAGTGATTTCAGCAGATATTTTAAACAAGTAGTTTAATTTGAAAACAATTTGCGAGGAGACTGCATAATAAAATAAATCATTGGAGACTTGAATACTTTGACTATTCATAAAATAATGTTAAGCAGTGTTGTATTATAAGAGGGAAGTATGCCATTTTCAATATGTGCATTTTACAGGCGCCCAAACATCAGGCAAAAGAATTGTTTCCTAAAACCATTGTTAATCATGCTAAATGTTTTCATGTTTACTGAAAGAAGTTCATGACCTTCAAGAAGAAAAACCCCACATATTGTTAAAGTATGGAACAGTAGAATCACTATTTCTTGTTGTGTTCCATTTTGACAGAACTTTCCTTGGGAAGCAAAAAAGGAAACTTGCTCAGTGTCTTTTATGAGTCATATATTTTATTAATTCAACAAATACTAAAGGAGGGTCTGTTTTGTTGGAAGTGCTGATCTATTTACTTTACTCATAAGTTTCTTTTTCCCATGTCCTTCTTCCAGTGGTCTTCTGCTGTCAGTATTGGTCCTATCTTACAGAAAAGAAAGCATATTTTTTAAGGTCACGGGGATGCCCATAATTAGAACAGCAAAATTAGAAGCAATGACTATATTTACTGGTTTTTAAAAAAAAACGCTAGCTAATGGGCAGATATCATAAAGAATATAATTTTGTTGACTAAAATTGGAAAGCACCCATCTTCATCCCCATATACACTCTGGGGAGGATTTCACTGTGGAAAGTAGAGGCTCAGTTAACCCCTTAGCTAAGGGCAGGTACCTGAAGGGCCCATGTCCACAGCACTTTTTCAGAGATCAGTTTGAAGATTCTGGTGAGTCACCCAAGGGTCTGGATGTGGCGCTGATAATTTAACTCAGTTAAAAATGCCCTTTATTTTCTGAATCCTGAATGATTTGCAAGTCTTCACCTTGTCTTCCTGTTGGCAACACTGCCTTAGTCGCTTCGCCTGGTGGCTGGCAGGAACATGTTCTGGCACATCACAGCAGGGGGGCATGGGTAGGGGAGGGCATTCGATTTCTGTTGGTGGTGATCTGCAAGATTTCTTCTATGAGAAAATGTATGCTAGGAATTATAGGTTTTTAGTGGCAGCTGACCAGAAAATGTTTTGCTTTGTAAAAGAAAGCTAACAGAGAGAGAGAGAGAGAGAGAGAAAGTATCAACATGAAAATATGGTGACAAAGATACCATCATTTTTTGAGGACCTATACTGTGCCAGGTTCATATGCTACTTTCAGCTCTTTCCATTCCATAGAAGAGGACCATTGACTTGCCCCACCAGGTTCACAGTTCGTCACACAGAACTAGAAGTGAATTCAAGCATCTGCCTGCTAAATTGGCTCCAAGAGCCCAGAGCTTCTTGCTGTCTGTTTAGTATTGTGGTCCTGCCCTTTGAAGCAATTATTGCTTCAAACCAAATCCACCACTATAGAAGAATATTGGAAAAGCTTTTCTGAAATCAGAGCATGTGAGTTCTCAAGGAAAGTGAGAAAGGCTGCCCAGATTTGAAACATGGGAAACATTTTATCAGCTATAACAGTATTGCCCCCGTCTCCCGTTTTCTGGCTCAGTACCAACTCCTGTAACTTCTGAAAATAGCTCATAAAAATAAATTGAAAATAAGCCGGTGGCAGTGGCTCATGTCTGTAGTTTCAGCAACTCAGGAGGCTGAGGCAGAAGGCTAGCTTAAGCCCAGGAATTCAAGGCTGTGGTGTGCTATGATCATGTCTGTGAATAACCACTGCACTCCAGCCTGGGCAACATAGCGAGACCCCATCTCAAAAAATAAAATTAGTTTGGTTAAAGGATATACATTTAGAATTTAATAAAACAAAGGACCCAATATTCTGTTTCCCCTTTGTGAACTGGTATCTTCTAGATGTTGTTAAAATAGATTCCAATACGAAAAAGTTGAACAAAGAGTCTCTTAATCAAAAGTCATGTGTAATTCTCCATAGGTTGCCTCAAATAACTCATATATTTGTTCATGTCTGTGCATACTATCATACGTAATGCCATTATTCATTTTAATGACAAAGTCATATCAGCGATATACAATCAGGAACAATAGTATTGTTTGTGTTAAGTGCCTCAGTTGAATTAGTGTTTCTCAGATTACTTCTTTCTGTCTCCTATCCCCTTCTCTCTTCTCCCTGTCACCCACCATTCAACTCTTCTTATCTTGGTGACCACAACTAACTTTGAGCGTTATGCTAACGCCACTGGAGGTTTCTGGGATTCTAACTGAATATTTTGTACCAATTTTTTTTTTTTTTTTTTTAAAGATAGGAGGCGTATTCATTTTCTTTAGAACTGAAAGACTCTAGATTGCTTGAACCTAGTTCGGTTGGGCATTAAACTGTTTTGTTAATCTAAATACCTCAGACAGACCTGGGTTCTAGTGCCGCCTCTGTCACTTACTAGCTTTGCATCTTGGGCCGTTTTCTCTATTGCCTCAATTTCCTCACTTGTAAAACAGGGCGAAATAAGCAATAGGATAGTTGTGAACATCAAATGAGTTAACGCAGGCCAGCAGCTTAGATCACACCTGACGCATAGTGAGCTATCAAACGATATATATATTTTTGAAAACCCTAAACTCTAGCAACTCTTTGTGTTTTCATTTGGAAGATATCAACCTAAGGAGATAAGGGTTGACAACCTTGTATAACATTAGCATCTTTTTGCAGGACACTCTCCTTGGTTTACTTCTAACCCCCAACTCGCATCAGCTTCAGTAAATAAAGGCTTTCCATCCTTTTGCTAAGGAGAGACTTCTTTCAGAAGTCTTCCTTCTCAGGCCATCTTTCCATTTTAAGCTGAGACAACGGTTCAAATGGTTCGTAGCGGTCAATTGCGTAGTAAAAAGAATTCTCGTTTGTTTTCACTAAATTTTGAAAAGCTTGGCTGGGCATCGAGGGATGAGCTTAAGCAGAAGAACGCAGCAGAGGTGAGCGCGTGTGCATGTCTTCCTGAGCCAAGCATAAGCTGCAACTCCGCAGGATTCTACTCTGGGGAAAGTATATTTAATATCTAGACTCTGAGGGAAGGACGGGAGTGGCTAGAACTACCGTTTGGCGGAGTTACAAGAGTAGTGATGACACTGCTGGTGGGGTCCTAGAGCCGAGAGGGCGGTGATTGGTTGAGTCGCGTTACTCCGAGCGCTCCCATTGGTGCATTCCTTGGAGCCAGGGTTGCTATTGGTGGCGAGTTGGCCACAGCGAAAGAACCCGGGGCCCCGCGACGGCCTCGGCGTTTGGGCTAGTGCGGCGGCGGCCAGGCGGAGCGGGAGATGAGAGTGAGAGCAGCATCCTGTGGCGCGGCGCCCCCTGGGCTCAGAGCCTCGCGCTCCCTGGGAACAGGGTTTTCTGGGGTCTGGTTGGGGCAGAGGTGCGGGAGTCTTGCCCCGCTTAGGTGGACGGTCCAGGCGTCCTGCTGGAGAGAAGGACCGGGGAAGACCCGCGGTGCCCGGCAGGAGGACGGGAGAGTTTCAGGCCTAACGGGTCCTTGTGGAAACTGCCCGACCCCGCTGTGGAGGGGAGCTGCGGCACCCGCGCGGTGCGCTGTCGCCATCTGCCGCCTTCCCAACGGGAAGAGGGCAGAGGCGCTGGCGCCAACGCGAGGTCAAGAGTGACCCTTGGCCACCCAGGTGTGAGTTGTGAAGAGGACTCAACAGACGGCGGGGCCAACGTGTTTAGTTCCAGAAGGAGCGTGGCGCTCGCTCTGGGCTCGGAAGCCTCCCTACAAAAGATGAAAGGAGGGCTTCTGTCATCTGCGACTGTAGTTTAATTCAAATTAAGCCGTTGTACCACAGACAACTTGTTAATGCCTTTAGCTTGCAAACCCTCCAAGAGTCCTTCAAAAAGGGACCGAAAGTGGGTAGACTACACGTGTACATGTAACTCCTCTGAAGACACTAACTTTGTTTCAAGTACATTTTAATTATTTAAAGTTTAACGTTTCATGTAAATGGCCAATAAAGACGAAATCTTGAGTTCATTAAAGAATATAAAAGCCATAGATTTTTTGGTAATTTGAGTTAAACAGATTAAGAGAAATGTTTAGAAGTAGAGCGAGGAAACTATTAAAAATAAAATAAATATCCAAACGTCATGAGCGTTCTCTACTTTTTTCTATCCATATATACTTTTGCATAATTTGATATTGTAAG